AGCATTAATTTAAACAACCGTTAATGAGCTAAGCAGCTATGACTAAACGCGCTCATCTCTGTTCTCTAATTTGATTCTTCTCTCATCAAACAAATTTTTCGTTAGACCGATATACTGTAAAGTGGCCCGTGGGGTTGTCTGGTGCGCTTGTGTTTAGAGGGCGCCGCACAGTAGAAGGTCCCCACTGGTCCACAAATATTAGCAAGTAATTTTTAGCAAAAAAAAAACCGACTTAAAAAAAATATATATATATCTATATATTTCATGATCCAATGATCGGATCTAAACCAAATTAGTATGGGACCACCTCTGAGACACTACCTTTCCGTTGCAAAAAGAATTATTGAAATCGGTTGACGTGGTGCAAAGTTATGCGGTAACATACATAAAAAAAAAAATAATAAAAAAATATTCCGACGAACTGATAGCCTCCTCTTTTTTGGAAGTCGGTTAAAAATGGCATAGAATGGAAAATTGCAACGCCTACTACACCAGAGCATGAGAAATAAAAATTTTATCCTTCATCTCCTGGATTAACGCTATAACCGCATAAGCGATTTTGGCCGAGTTCGAAATAGCACGCCACTCATTTCTCTTCTGCGCCAACTGAAGCCAAGTACTTCTCCACCTGGTTTTTCTAGCGCAGAGAAGGCCTTTCTCTTCCTCTGTTACCAGCGTCGCGACCCGCGTTTAATACTTTCAGAGGAGGCATGGCCAAGCCAGCGGAGCCGCTGAATTTTAATTCGCTGCACTATGATAATATCGTTGTAAAGCCCATACAGCTCATCGTTGAATCTTTTGCGGTATTAGCCATTGCCAACGCGCAAACGCCCTTAAATCTTTAATTTCTTAATACTTTAATAATTTACTGGTAAATAACCTATACCTTAATTTGAAAATAGAAAAACTCATTATATTTATATGATGATATGGGCATTTATAGGCAAAAAAAAAAATAAAAACAGTTTATTCCCAACTAAAACTGGAAAATAATGTTCAAACGCTTGAGAAAATCTCATTTCTCAATTTGATTTTCAGCATTGTTTATAATTTGCAAAAAGATAAAAACAGTTTATTCCCAATTAAAACTGGAAAATAATTTTTAAACGATTGAGAAATTCTTGTTTCTCAATTTGATTTTCAGCATTGTTTATAATTTGAAACTAAACACTTTCTCAAAATTTTATCAAACATTGTTTATCAACTTAAGAACGATTTGAGAAGTATTTGAAAAAAAAAAATATTTTGTAGCATTTCGTTCCGTTCCATCTTTGTCAACATGCACAGTCTATCGGTGGTCTGCTATATCAGTCGAAAAATGGATCCTCGACCACGCGGTCGCTGTTATTCGCGATTTGTCTGTCGGAAAATCGCTTCTCATTTGAGTCAAATGAAATGCATTGAATTTTTGTTTGGTGTGAAATTTTTTTCATAACATCATTTTGTGATTGATCGTTTTGTGGCTGATCTGCCGACATAACCTACTGACTGGTTATTAAAATTTACTAACGAAAGAAAAAAATAGTCTGCTGCATCGATAGTGACCAACAATTTGTTTACTTGAAATGAAAAAATTGTATGTTAAAAAAAATTATTGATGTGTAATGTATAATAAAAAGGCTTATGCGGTTTTGAAAGTGCAATATTTTAACATTTTTGTGGCGAAAAGTTCACAATCAGGCCGATTCCCTGGGAGTTTTCTTTCTTTTCCCTTTCCTCCTATTATGAATAAAAATTCTCTGAGAATTTTTTATATTAAATTGCGAAGTTGAGCTGTCAAAAAAGTGTCAAACAGCTCTTTCGAAGTTCGAATTACCTCCTCCCAAATTTTCGGGGAAACTTATACTCCCTGGGAGTTAATTATTGGAGGATTCCTTTCTCGCGAGAAACCAATTCCCGGAGAACAAAAACCCTGGGAGTATTCATAATTGGGCTGAATATGTAAATCCCGAATCGGAGAAAAATGCGGAACATTTTTCCAATAAATGCATTTTTTTAAGAGTTGGGGCAGCTTTTTGACATAAGTTTCAATAGAATATCTGTCAAAAAAGTCGAATGCTGTCAATATAGTCGACTTTATTTCGACTTTGAAGCAGCACTATACAGATATATCAATTAGAATAACTGGATTTCATTTCGTTCGTTGGATGCAGAAGACGGAATGAAAGAGAGAGGGCAAAAGTGAAAGAGGAAATGAGAAAACGTCAAAAATTACACAGCGTTGATTTGGGTATAGCGCGCGCTAGCATTCGTTGGCATTGGAAAACGCAACGCTTAGCGCTTAAATTTAAGGATGGCAGTTAAAAATTCGCCTTTTTGGTTTGAGAATGCTATCAACGGTTATTTGAGATTCATCACAGAACTAACATATGAGATTTGAGAAAAGTACTGATTCTCTATCTGAGTATCTAAAATTGAGACTTAACAAAAATGTTTATTCGGATTATATGTATATCTTGTTTGTATGTATGTATATGTTAAATATCAACTTTATTCAATTAATAAACTTCATTATTTGAGTTGCAGAATTGTTCATATAACAAACAAGCTTTTGTGTACATATACGTATATTATTAAATTCATAATCTTTTAACAAATATTCCTTTGTCATTTACTTATGGCTAAAAAATATGCTTTTGTCATAACTTAATAATATACAATATTCCAAAGTTTTGTTTTATAAAACTTTCTAAATATATGTAATATTTCTTAAATTTATTATTATTTATTAACATTATATTATTATATTTTACGTGTTAAAGTTAAAGTTTTTTTCGTATAATTTTCTCTTAAAAATATGGATATTTTACAATTAAACTGTATAACTACATACATAATTTCGATATTGTTTTATAAAACATCTGGTTTTCTGTCGTGTATAACAAAGATTCATACATTTTTATTTTTATTTGTCTTTTTAATCAATTCATTTTCCGCTTATACATATCTATTTAGAACATACAAAATAGCCTGTTTTATTATTCAGTTTAACTAAAACAGTTCATTTTCGGACTTAATAGCAGTATTTACAATACAACTACATATAGTACATATGTATGTACATATGTATTATAATTTGTTGATATGCATAGTCAACTAACGCAAATATAATCGAAATTTAATTGCTAAAATGAAAAGGATAAGTCATGCCGGTTGTGATTTAGAGTTTATCCACTACAACTCCGTAGTGATTTCAGTATAAAACAAACGATGGTTTACTTTAGCTTAGGTTAAGTTTGACAGTGTGCACACTAAAATTTGAATGAAAACATTATCCTGTTAGCTAAGCGTAGATTCAAGTTTCTTTGCAAAAAAGTATAGACTTATTGGTAATTGTAGAACACTGGCCCGTCGAGAAATGAGAAACCAAACTAGCATTCTCAATTGCTGATTGAAATTTAAAAGTAAGCGTTGCGCCATTAGATTTCTGACAGCAGAGCACAAACTCTTCCTCAAAAACTCATATTTTAATTGATTTCGAACGAGCTTAACTTTGCAATGATGGATTTGAATCGCACTGGTATTGGAGCCTCTACAGTGTAATCCGGCTTACTTACGTATGTACATACCTACAGACATACGGTGGCGAGAATGTAAATAGGGAAGGCAAATTGTGGTAAGTTTCGGCTATTTTTCTTTGTTAAAAATGTTAATTTTTTTTTAATGAAATTAAAGCTTACTATCTTAAAAAAAAAACCATGTAAATCAATTTTGCAAACTTTGTAGAACATTTATAAAAATTCGACGAATTTTAACAAATGTTCATACAAATAAAATATTAAATTAACGCAAAGAATGCTAAAATATCTCTTCCTTATTTATATTTTCGCCACTGTATGCACACCTAGTAGAAAANACTCTCCTACATCGGATTTATACATTCGTATACATAGTATGTCTATGTATGTATTTTTCACATTTATAAGGTGGGGAATTAATTCAATTCGATTGTTTTCGTTTTCTAATTCAAAACCGAACTTTTGAAGGCACACAAATCTTTCCACATATTGGATTTTCTAGGCACCCCATTTCGTTGAAAGGTCTTTACCGACCTCTATACAATACCACTAATTTATTCATGCGTTTGTCCCTAAACTTTGTCACAGTAAATTACGCTACTGTCATTATTCTGGTAATTCGTCTTAGTTTAACTTAACCTATAACTCAACACTTAAAAACTAATCGAACTTTTCTTGGTTTGGCATACAAATAAAGAATTTTGAAGCACCAAAGATTAATCGCTTGTGACAGACCGGTCAGCCATTTCACTGGTCGATGTATGGTTAGGTAGTAGATGGGAATGCCGGAGAGTATAATGTAGTGCCTACACCCACTTCGATGGGTGACTGGAAAACGGATGAGATCACAAGAAAGAGACACGTCAGCAGATAAATGATTGGTAGGGCGAGGCTGACGCGAATGGGACGTTCTGTTTTCGGTTGCTTATAACGCAACCATAGCAAAGCCAGACACGGAGAGTAGCGTGAAGAGCGCTTCCACGTAGCTGACATAGTTGATGAGCGAATATACGTCCTTGATGAAGAGCAGCACTAAGGTGATGACACACTGCGGAGGAGCTTCAAAATTACAGCAAATAAAAACTAATAAATAATTTCCACACTCACCAGAAAGATAGCGATGGCACAGGCGTCAAACAATTCACATTGATGAGTGAAATTGCCGCAGGCAAATGACCATTTCGTGCACCGACAAAAAAGAGACGCGAAGAGGCAAATATGGCACCGTTTAACGAACCAAAAGTCGAGCAGGCGACAAAGAACGGCATGAGCCAGGACATGAAGCCGAGCATTTTATCGCCAAAAGTCACGGCGACTGCGTCCGAAGACAACATCTCCTCTGGCGAGAGCACCGAAAAATAGGAAATATTTGTCACCACATAGATTAGCGTCACCACCGGCATGGAGATGCATATGGCACGTGGCAGATTCTTGTATGGATCCTTTAGTTCTTCTGTGACAAAATTCAAATAATTCCAGCCAGAGTACGAGAAGAGACCATTGTAGAAAGCGAGCGCTATCAAACCGGGTGCAGTGAAGGTGCCACGCATTGGTTCATCCCACTGCTCTGTGTGGCCGGCGAAGAGATACCATGCGCCAGCAGCGACTATCACAAGCAATGCGAATACCTTGGTGCCGGTAAAGATGTCGGTGACACGCGTCACCCAACGTACGTTGTAGCAATTGATGACTGTCAGAATACCTGAGCGAGAAAAGAAGTACAAAACAAAAAAATTGTTAAAATCTTCTCATACTTAGTTATTGGGCAGTGCGGTATATACGAAATCTTACATGTCATCACGGCTGCCAACAGTTGTACCGCCGCAATGGGCGCATCGCATGACGGCCAAAATGGTTGCAGCAAATATTGTGCGAATGTGAGCGCTGTTATGGCATTTCCAGTTGGTACGAGTACAAGCAGCGCTACCCAGAGATATAGGAAGAGCGGGCAGTGGACCAAACGCTGTGCCGATGTAAGCATAATCGCCGCCAGATTTGGGGATCATTGTACCTGAAATAGAGGCAGAAAGTAGAAAATTAATAAAAATCGAAAAAACCTCGTGTGTCGCATATTTCCCCTATTTTTCCCCCACCGTAGATCCGGCCCTGGTAATTAAGTTATGAACACCATTTGCCGCACTCTCCGTATGTACCCGTAGTTGGCAACGCATAACAACGTTGCAAAGAGATGCCATCTAAGAGAGCATTTTAGCAAAAAATAAGGCAGTGCGCTCTTAAGCTCTTTACAGTCTTTTAAGCGCAGCATGCAAATATAATAACAATGTGTGTTTGTCTATACACTTATAAATAAGTTCAAACACTATGTTTAAGCAAAAATATAGCCACAAAAAACCGGCACTAGTAAAAACTCCAAATGCCTGTGGCGACTTAAAACTTTAGAAAAACAGATGTGCATAGTAACAATTTTTTATTTTCTTTTTATACCCGAGCGCATTTGTGCACAAGGGTATTATTACTTTGCTCACAGAGCGGTTGTTTGTAGCAATTTAAAAGAATAGAGTTTGGAATATATATGTACATAGACATATCGCTAGCTTAGAGTGAAAAGTAGCTAAGTCCCAATTTAAAAATTTTACAGGCGAGGAATGATAATAATATAATATTAAAAGATTTCGTACGTTTTTGGCCTTATCGAATTTTGGGAGCATCCTTTGGACTTAGCAAATTTTCCTTTCATTGAATATGAACGAGAAACTATAAAATAAGGTCCTTTAACCCTTTCGAAACGATAAATTTTTAATCTCTATAGCCTCCTGTATGAAAATATGAGTTTTCATAGAAAGTTGCCTTAGTAACTTTCACTCTAAATTAAAAAAAAAAAAAACAAAACACATTCGACAAAAAAATAACAAATTCAAAAGTCAACGGAATTTTTTACCAACTTGAAACTTGTTCTTCATTATATTACAAAACTTTATATCAAAAGATTGTGATTAAAAATTTGTATAGTTATTGTACAAACCGCCGTAATTACCAACAGAGTCGACTTTATTTCGACTATGAATTTGTCCCATGGTTTTTATTGTATAACCAGGGGCCTCTTTCATAAAGCGTCAGTGATAATTTTGTAACGACAGGCATTTTCCATGTTGTCAGTTTGCTGGGTGTTTTGTTTCATAAAAATAATTGTCACCACCTCACAAATTCCATGGGAAATTCCATTGAAAAAGGGACAAATTGTCATTGTCGGGCTTTAAAATTGTCGTTGACAAAATTGTCGCCAGTCATATGAAATTTCTTCGTAAATCATATGTAATAACTGCATTTGCATTATGTGTTTTAGTTTTAAGAAATTATTGAAAAGTGATAAAATGCGCGCAATTGCCATATAAATAAATTTACAAAACTCTCCTGTGAAAGCTTTCCGAAGGAGCTATTTGGTTTTGTCGCTATTGTCAGAGTGACAATTGGCAGCACAATTGTCGACAATATTCCATAATATCACTGTCGGTTTCCAAACATTTTCACAGTTGCCTACAAGCGTATATGAAACCGAAAAAAAGTCGCCGACAATTCTGCCAGTGAAATTTTATAGAAGAATCGACAATTGTCGCACCAGTCACTTTTATGAAATAGGCCCCAGCTAGAATTTTATAAACAAAAATAATAAAAAATTAAATAAACAAAAAACAAATAGTCAACACTAGACAAAATATCGCACTCCCATTATTTTGTGTGTGTGTACATAAATAAATATCAGTGGTGCTCAACGTCAGTCTATTCACTTTGTCTGATTGTGTGGAGGCAACTTTTCGTTGCCAACTCTTTTCGTTAACACACATGTTTTTTTTTTCTATTCCCCTAAGAAATTAATACCAAGCCTTGAAGTGTTCTTGTTTGGGCAAAAATCAATTCACTATACAACAAAACCAAATTACTGTATTTATCTCTAAAAAGGAATTGATAGATTGATTATTTCAATTTCGTAATGACCTAAAAACATGCTAAACGGAAATTCCAACGGAATGGCCTACCCTATATATGTTTGTACATTAGAAAATATAAATACATACATATCTACGCACAATGCACATACAAACGTAGGCATTTGGGCACAAACTTTCGGGCTGATGTAAGTTCTTTGAAGTGACATAGAGGTCGTTGCATCATGCTTGCTGTCTTCAGTAGTGTTATCTAAATATTTGGGTGTTTCTTAAATTTAACTCAATTCTACGCTCGCTCATACTTTTTACGGGACCACCGTTGTCGAGTGGCTAGAGGTGCGCACTACCACTCTGTAAGTATAGGATTTGACCATAAATTAGCGATAACATTTTTGTTTTTCAAGAGTATCATTAGTGAAGTAAGAGGTTCATAAACATTTCGCACATAGTTATGCCAATATATATATAAGTGAATGTGGAGGTGCTGAGTTTCTGCTTAATCGTTTATAAATTTAATTAATTTTATCTAACAGTATTAGCTCTTTCGTTCACGTGTGCCTCTGCCACTTGTCAATAAATTTATTGTTTATACCAGTATATACATATGTACATTAGACCGTTCGTTATTTTAACTATTTTTTTAAATAT